AAATACTTTAAAATACTTTAAAATACTTTAAAATACTTTAAAATACTTTAAAATACTTTAAAATACTTTAAAATACTTTAAAATACTTTAAAATACTTTAAAATACTTTAAAATACTTTAAAATACTTTAAAATACTTTAAAATACTTTAAAATACTTTAAAATACTTTAAAATACTTTAAAATACTTTAAAATACTTTAAAATACTTTAAAATACTTTAAAATACTTTAAAATACTTTAAAATACTTTAAAATACTTTAAAATACTTTAAAATACTTTAGAATAATTTAAAATGAAAATCAAAACAACAAAAATATTGAAATTGTTTACAAATACAAGTAAACTAAAACGATTACAAAAATATTATACTTTTGCCATTAATATTTGTATTTTAACCGCGAAACAAATAATGGTGAAAGTGTTGACAAATAAACTGTTTACAAATAAATTGTTCACAAACACAGTCTAAAGAGCAGCTTCAATCTAATGTTTATGTACAAATATTGAGCAAATTTTTTTTCATAAAACATTCATTTACTAATCAAAACATCAGAGCCTGTAAAATATAATCATTTAAACAAGTTTCGAGAAAATGAGCATTCGAAAGAATTGGATATCTAAAGTTACCCAGTTCTTTTACAAAAATAATTGTGTCTTACAATTTTAATAAGAAAGTAGGTACCTTTTTAGGATATTCATTTATGAGACTTATCTAGTAAACCCCAAATTGATTTTTAACATTCGATATAAAATCGTTCTAGTAAGATTTTACGTATAGGAACACATGTAGGTTTAAAATGTTAAACAAATTGTATAAATAGCGCCAGTTTCACAGGCAAGGGCAGGGATCTTTTCGCTGTTTGGAGTGTACCTTAGACACTATATGAGAATGAGTAGCAGACAATCATTTCTTTACTCGTATGTACACATAAATTTAAATTTTACACTAAATCTTTGTTGTTAAGCTGCCATTCGTTTCATATATCTCAGTATAATCCATTTGTATGTCAATTTATAAAGGTAAATTGATATATCATCAACTTTATATTTGTCTAAGAGAAACTGATGGCTTTCAAGGAACGTCCGACACCCCTTGCGATATGTATGTTAGCCCGACATCAGTCCGACAGGTACGTTTGCCCCACATCTCAGCTCGATAAATAGGGAATAGCATGAAAAGAAACAAATTCGCTGAGACCTAAACAATTAACAGTAAAAATTTGTTTTCTTGAAGTGTGATAAAATTCGATTTTTGTTATTTTGTCATGAAAATTATTGACAAGAAAGAAATATCCAAATTGGAAAACCTAATAATCGAATCATGAAAAAATTGTATATATTACGGAAAATAAGCTAAAACTAAAATAAAATAAAAACAAAAAATAAAAGAAGAATTCAAAGCCTTGGAAAATCAGTGGGAAATGTTACTAGTTGTTACATATTATATAGTTGTCGGGCCAATAAATTTTCGGGAAAATGAATTGTCGAGTAGACGGGGGTCGATGAACCGATTTGTCGGGAAACTGAGTGTCGAGTAGACGTACCAGACCCCTCATTTGTGGTAACATCTGAAAGAACTTAGCACAACAAGAAAGGATACATAAACCAAGTAATATAAAGTCATTACAGTGCCAATTTTGTTATATTGATAGGGAAATTGGGTGCCATCGTAATGAGATGCAAGCAGAATCCATACTTCAAAAATGATTGGACAAATGATATCTTACAATACCTACAGTGAAAACACTGGAACTTTTTCTATTAATCCTTGATGAGTGCCAAATTTATTTTTACTACTCGCTTGTTCAAAAAAGCATAAACAAGATTGTTCAGCTGATACTCATCATTTTAATTTTTTTGTGAAAGACATTTTTTGTACTGTCTTAGGTATTGGTATTTAACTCTGATCTCTAAAGTTAATGTTATAAAAGTGTAAAAGAAACAACGAATATATCAGAGCGAGATACTCCAGTTATTAAAAGAATGGGGGAAACAGAATATTTGGACAAATAGTGATCTCTTACAATACACAAAGTGAAAATACTGGAACTTCTATTAATCTTTGATGAGTGCTAAATTTATTTTTACCACTCACTTGTTCAAAAAAGCATGAACAATATTATTAAGCTGATACTGATCAATTTTTCTTTTATTTGAAAGACATTTTTTGTACTGTCTTAGGTATTGGTATTTGACTCTGATCTCTAAAGTCAAAATAATAAATAAGTGTTATAAAAGTGTAAAAGAAACAACGAAGACACCAGAGGGAGCTACTCTAGTTGTTAAAAGAATGGGGAGAAACAGAATGTTTGGACAATTGATCTCTTACAATACCTAAAGTGAAAACACTGGAAATTTTTCTATTAACCCTTGATGAGTGCCAAATTTATTTTTACCACTCACTTGTTCAAAACAGTATAAACAACATTATTAAGCTGATACTGATCAATTTTTCTTTCATTTGAAAGACATTTTTTGTATTGGTATTGGTATTAGACTCTGATTTCTAAAGTCAAAATAATAAATGTTATAAAAGTGTAAAAGAAAAAATTAAGACATCAGAGGGAGCTACTTTAGTTATTAAAAGAATGGGGGGAAACAGAATGTTTGGACAAGTGATCTCTTACAATACCTAAAGTGAAAATACTGAAATGTCTTCTATTAATCCTTGATGAATGCCAAATTTATTCTTTCTACTCACTTGTCCAAAAAGCATGAAAAACATTGTTAAGATGAGAGTGATCAATTTTTTTTGTATTTAAAAGACATTTTTTTGTACTGTCTTAGGTATTGGCAGTTGACTTTGATCTTTAAAGTCAAAATAACAAGTTAGTGTTATAACTTTTTGATAATTTGCTAGGTATTTATGATTTTCTTTAGTAACTGGTCTTTTTTAAACTTTTAGCCAATTTCTATTTTTTTTTTTTTTAAATAATGATCGGGTCATAAATTAATTTCTCTACTAAAAAATCAATAAAAGTTTCGAATTTATATTAATCTTTAATATTATTAGATTAGTTTCGGAAAAAATTTATATTTAAAAATTCGATTTGGGTTTACTGATTAGTACCTTACAAATATTTTAAACACTCTATAAATTTTTAATTAAACTTGCTCTCCTTTTCAACAAAAATACATCGGCAAATTAAGTAATAATATCAATATTGTTTATCACTTGCATATTTTTTAATTATATAATTATACACTTTAAATGAAACAGTACATCACGTATATTTTATTATTATTATTTGTACAATCATATTTATTATTTCCAAATATTTTTAAAACAGTGCAAGTTGTTGCAATCTATCTTACACTATCTTCCACGAATATTTTCAGGTTTTATCAGAGACTTTTTTAAAAAGACATTTATTTATTTAAAAGTAAATGTAAGTAGTAAAATAGGTATTTTATTTCTCATTAATTTATTTTGACAAATTTACATCTCTATATAATTAAATGACCAGTATAATTGTTAATATAAATTTAGTTATTTTATTTTACACAAAGATTTATTACATTTATTTTTTGATTGTAAAATAATTTTTTTCTTCAAACTAATAAACTAAATCACATTAGTATGTAGAAAAATATCATTATCTTCAGAGTACAACAAAATATTTATATGAGGAGCCTATTTCCAAAACTGCGTTAATCCATTTTACATCAAAACCGAGATCCAGACGGCACTGCCTTCCTTTTTTAAACAACTTTATGACAGCAACTAATTTTGTCACCAAAACTCGAGAAATCCCCTGAAAATTGAATCGTGAATATTTATTTTTTTAATCCATCGCGGTTACTGTTTCAAAACTGTCTAAATCTATCTTTGACATTTGTTGTCAAAACTTATTTAATCCGTTGCATTGTGAATGGCGTGATCGTGTATATGCTATCACAACTGCTTCAGTCTTTGACATTCCACTCGCTTGTTTCTTGCAGGATTTGCTCTGTTTTTATTTCAGTTGTATTTTGATTTCCAACTGGTTAAGCCAGTTCCGAATCTGTTGATTTTATTTCGTGAGCGAAAAAACCCAAAAAAACCCAAAAGCAAAGTGCAAATTATTACATTTTGTGATGTTAAGTGGTTTCTTTGACTTCATAGGAATAGACCACTCATCCAAATTGCATTCATAAGAAGCAAATAGAAATAAGATAGAGCAAGACAAGTTCATTTTTAAACATACGTCACAAAGGCAGCTAAAAAGACGTCGTCTTACAAAGAGAACACGTCCTAATTCAGACACTGTCTCCTACTTTATTAAAACTAAAGAAGGTCAAAGGGAAATTTGTAGCAAAGCTTTTCTTTCTATCATCAATATTCCAAGATTTAGAGTCCAAAATGTGTGCAGGCACTATCTCGCCTAGGGTACTTAGCCGAAAGAAAATAGAGGTGGCGCCAAACGAAGCAGACATTTTTTGACAAGAAATTTTATCTTGAATATGAAGTGTGTCGATTCACACTATGGCAGAGAGTCCCAACGTCAATATATGCCCAGCCACTGTAGTATCAGGCATTTGTGGAGAGCCTATTGTAACCAGAATCCAGACTTGCTTGTAAAATATGAATACTTTCGCAAAATCTTTGTAACTGATTTTAATGTTCAGAGTGTATTAGACTGAAAGGTCTAATTTCAATCTCAACTGGGCAAATGAAGACCGAACTAAGATGCATAAATTGAAAACAAAAGCATTTGTTGAAATGCTACAATTCTCGGAAATAAACGTTATCAAATTAACATTTGATTGACAAAAAAATATGGTTCTTCCCCGGGATCCCGATCAGGCCGCCTATTATTCTAGGAAGTTGTACCTACACAACTTCACAGTTTGCGAAGGGCATTCGAAAGCCAAACATACAAAGGTTACTTGTTACACATGGACAGAAAATCTCAGAAGCAAGGAATCTAATGAAATTTCTTCGATGTTACATGCAAAAATCACTTCTTTGAGCCTTACAAACGTTACTGTATTGAAATTTTATTGCGACAGATGCCAAGATGACAAAACAAGAACGTCGTCACTATCATAGGTTAGTATTTTTATATATTTTTTTTTGTTTTCCAATGTATTTTTTGTTGTTTTGCCTAGGTATGCTGATGAATTGGCTATACTTTACCAAATCTGCTGTTGAGGAGATTCACGTCACCTATCCTATTGTAGGTCAATCATATATTATTTACCATTTCGGAAGAATAGAGAAGGGTGTAAAAAGAAAAGAGGTCATAATTGATCCAAAGGAGTATAGGGCTATATTTTCCGAGTTTGCGGCTGTACTAGACATGGAAAGTGACTTTGATGTTTTTGATTTAAAAAAGCAGTAAAGACTCATGTGAAACTACCTGGCCAATGGCATTTCCAATTTTCTTCGGCGAAGCGGATGATAATTAAGAAAGAAGCTAGTTCATTAGGAAAAAAAGACCTTGTTAGAGGTGAAGCTAATTACCGCACCGATATGGGAGTGTACAAGTCTGTGCTGAAAAAAGGAAAAGTCTAGCGACTATTATTCCAGAACTATTGCCAAAAAAAGTTCCAGTCAATCCACTGAAGTTAAATGATGTAGATAACCTTTTGAAAAAGCATTTTGGTCCAGATTGGAGAAACATGTGTAGGGTAGATTTAACGTTTTATCAAAGGATTATTGATAATAATGATGATAATTAGCTAGAAGCGCCTGATGAAGATACCACTCTCTCCAACGTGGAAGAAGATGGGTTTCGGATCTTTGATTTCAATTTTTTGAAATTCCAACTAACATGGATACTAGTTTTTTTCTATAACAAAAGACTGTATCCAAAACTGTTTTTTATCCACTTCCGACTTATTCAAAACTTTTTAGATCCATCGAACTGTGTCAAAACTGCTTAAATCCATTTGTTTTTTTGAAATTCTGAGCTTATTTCCATGACAATTTTATTTTAATGCATACAAATAAAGAAGTGATACACCATGATGATATCAAGATAATTATAAAAATTTAGTGTACTTATGAAAACGGTGAGAGGTTTTATTTGTTTACTGAAAAAAATGATTGAGTGGATTTTAGAAGTTTTGGAAATGGACTTCTCATATACTAGTAGCAATAACTTTAATTTATCAGAAACTAAGTTTTATTTGACACTTATCACACTTCTGTTGTTTTATTTTAGATTGATCAATTTCTAACGCACCTAAAGTAAGAACCTACCAAAAATTTTGTCATGCCAATTTAATTTATAATAATGAAATTGTTGACCATGTAGATCGTAGATATAATATGTTACTCGAAGTAGAAAGCTATTTATGTTTCTTGCCCAGTTTGCACATCCTCGGCTGTGGCAAGCTTCTGGGCTCAATATTAAATTCGACTTTTACTCCTAGTAACAGTTTTTACAGTCACACTTCCGAGTTTTTTTAATTCTTTATTGAAATGAAATGATAATGCAGCATTTTATAAAAACAGGCTCTGCTGAATAATTTAGTAAGTATTTAACTATTATTAAAAATTATTTAAGACAAAAGCAATCAAATTCAAAATTAGGTATTATGTTGATGAAAATGTTCGTGGAAAATAATGGTTTCTTTACATATTATAAATAACAGTGTATGGTAGCAAAAGTGCGTACATTTTCTAGTTTTGTCAACAATTAATCAATTTTCTTTTGTTAAATTTTCCACAATCAGATATTCTTTGTAAAGGTGGTCTAACGTTGTCTATTTTTTTATAAAATCATTTCTTTTTGACAATCGTCCAAATATGCCATAACACATCACGAATTTTTATTAAAAATAAACTAAATATTTTTTTAAGCTAAAATTTGATTAAAAGCAATTCGTTAAAGTTTAAATAAATATAAAGCTGCAATGGAATTCCATTAATGATTTTTTTTATAATATCTATCATCGTATACAGGGTATACCAGTTTTCAAAAATCACAACTATTGGATTTACGAAAAAAATTATATTCAGTGCTTTTTGTCCCTATTCAGTTAGTGGTTAAAAGCTTCGTAGTAAGTACAATATAATTATATAAATAGCTGGTTATTAAAATAAATTACCAATAAAAAAGTTTCATTTTATAAAAACATATTTCGACCCCTGTATAAAACATGAGAATAATTTGTAGATATTTTTTCATTTGATTTTTAATATTGTTTTACTTTTTGCATTAGACACTTATAGCATGAAAAAACACTTTCCAAAACTAGGGTAGATATGGAGAAAATTATATTGTGCACCACTAGTACTTCTATGATATTCATAAAAAAATTAATAATTTGTTAGTGACAACCAATAAATCAATGTGGCATCATAATTAGGCGTTCCAACGACCTGTCCAAATGCTACCAGTGGGGACTGACAGTTTAGATATGGCAACCCTGTTGGCATGTTGTCATTAACAGGGTCAATGATACATATATAGTTATATAGATTGCACAAAGCTGGTCGTTTGCGAGTGGCCATATTGCCTGGCAAATATTTATTAATTTGAATCGGTTTAGCAAAAATGTGTTTTAAAACCAATTTTCAGCCTTTGTTTATTTAAAAAAAAATAATTGCTTACATTTTTACTTTAAGGCATAAGCTTATGTTTATTTTGAAAAATATGGATGATCAATCTATGTGACTATCTATTTCATTGACCTTGTCAAATCACCAGGCCTACAGGGTTGCCATAATTTTGCCATATCATAACCTGTCAAAACCCACTGGTAGCTATTCAATTTGGAATGCCTAATAGATCATTTCATCGGAATACATATTGCAATTGCCATCTATCAGTTTACATAAGAAGTAATAGAAGCAGGATTTTATATAAAAGAAAACTGTAAATATGTCGTTTCGGCAATCTGTCTAAGGTTACAGCGTCAGCATATATTTAATTTTTTTCCTTTTCTTCCATTGCTGTATGTGTTTGCTACCTAGTGCCAGTGCTTCTTTAAAACAGTTTTTATTTTACAACAATCAACCCCAATAGGCTTAACACGCGCTTTTTGCAAGCCAAGTAGCCCTCAGATAGTGCTAGTGGAAATATGAGTCCATGCAACTAAAGAAGGCAAGGAAAAAAAATAAAATTATGCTGACGCTGTAACCTTAGACAGATTGCCGAGAAGATAATTTACGGTTTCCTTCGAAAGAAAATTATAAATCATGCTTCTATTACTTACTATGTATACTGAAAGATAGCGCAGAGTTCTTGCAATAACCTCCCAGAAATGTTTTGCGATAACAACCTCAAAACCATGGACGTGCATGTGTTTTCAAGATGAAGCTAAATTAAAGAACACATTATTTTATATTAAACATCTGTTTTGATAACCTGCATTATTTAATTTGTTATAGGTATTGGCAACCATATTTGATATTCTGATTGAGATATTCAAAACAGGTATTATAATTAATGAAAGCCAAGGAATTGGCGCCTGCTATAGTCTTTTAGTTTTTTTTCTTTAATAAGGGGATTAAAATATATTCAAATTATGCTATTGATCACAATGTGTTGAACAATTTTAATATGTTCATATTCATTTTTGTAAGTAAGCATCATGAACTTGGTATGTCTTTTATAAAATGATAGTTTCTGAATGCATATTACCTACTGTATTTTAGTTTTTTTGTATTTTAACATAACAAACGAATATAATTAGTAAAATGAAGAAATTATGCAAACCGCAATACAGATACGTCATTTTATTAGTTGTTTTCTTTTTACCACTAATCTGAGCTAACTTACGTCGACTAAGCTTAGTTGTACGTTATTTTTGTGATTTTAAGTCAGAATACTTCTTCCCCCCTTACTGATGCTAATAGCAGATTCTACTCGAACGAAATTATATCGATTAATTCACGCTCTGAGCACAGACTAACCTACCTATTACAGAAGCGAAGGCTTGCGTCGGCACTTTGATGTCTGGGTGGTCAAAATTTAAAGTGACACTCGGTGACAGTTGACGTTTTTGCCAGTTGTTACACTGGTAAAAAGGAACAAAATTCATATAAATTCGGATAATACACTGAGAAAAGGATTTAAAAATCTGTAACAAACCTATTTAGCAACATCCACTATTTCTTCTCTGAATTGAATGTTAGGATATAATTAGAAAAATAGGACACAATAATTTATTTTGAAGTAAATTGTACTAATTGCTAAATTAAAAAAGGTTTTTACTTGAGGAACCAAACCGAATACTCGTTGTGCTTAATTCATCAGTTTTTTTTAGATAACATTAACTCTTTAACAGAGTGATCCTTTTACAATTTATTAATGTATTAATTAATTGTGTTCTTTCCTGGAAAACACCTTCAACTATGATAGTTGGATCTAGACAAATATATTAAACTGATAATAACTGGCACTAAAAATGCAAATATACTTCCCAACTGTAATTTTGAAAGCCTCTTATGTGTTTTAGAGCCTTATAATAATTTGACAACTCGGTGGATAGAGCCAATATTGTTTGCAATTCAATTGTTGTAAACAAAATTAATATAGTAGTTGTTCGTCGTTGATAAAAAAGCATCAATAATAAATGGCGTAACGATTTATTACACTGTTTTACACTAGCACTAACGTTCACTGCACTAGCTCAAATGGCTTTTCTTTCTTTCGAGTCTTCTGTTGAGTGCAGAGTTGTCCAGTAATTGCATTTCTTCATTTTTGCCCGGGCCCCGGGAATTTGTCGGCCCTAGTGACATGACAGTTTTGCCGGGGATAAAATGGCGGACCTGATCATGCGCAAAAAATTTTGGATTCCAAAAATTAGCTATGCTTCGCTTCTGTAATAGGTAGGTTATTCTGTGCTCTGAGCCTGAACCAGTTCGCCAATGGTGAGGTGCATCAATTTATCCATATTCAACTGGTACAGTTGACATTTCTAGTTTCTAACCTAATTTAATATTTGTGTTTATTAAACAGGTAATTACTTAAATTTTAAATATTTCAAATGAATTTTTATTCATCCTGAAGTTTCTTTTGAACTGTGAAGCGCTTAAAATCTTTATTTATTAAAGTATATAAAAGTAATAAATAAAATTTTCCTCTTTTTATAATATGTTTTCACAACTTTAACTTATCCTTATCTTTTTGTCAGTTTTCTTTTCAACATTTTATACAACTCTTCCCAATATCAACACTAATATCTTCATCTTCCCTACTACTGGATTATAATAAAGATAATATTTTAAACTTGAAAATAAAACCTACGACCTAACCCCAGTATAATTAAAAATACAGTAGCGACAAATTGAGTCGGCCCTTTTAATGTCGGAGTGGTCAGATTTTTATTGACAGTTGACGTTTTTGCCTTTTATTTCTATACTGAGAAAATAAACTTCAAAATATCTTGTCTTATTATTTGTTTGAATAAAATATCACCCAATAAATGAAAGAAGAAAATTAAGTCTAAATATAATAAAAATGTATTAAAATGTGCATTGCAACTAATCAAATAATGAATACAATTAACCACCATCGACAATTTACATATGCCAGTTTGACGTATTTGCCGCTTATTTACGGACATGCGCAGGAAAATATGGAACCCTTATAAGCAATGAACTGTCGCTACTGTATGATTACTTATACTTAACCTCTAAATCGGCACTGGCTGGCCCTGAAAAAAGTACAATTCCAAAAAATGCAAACTTGAGCAAGCGCTTCTACAAATCGAACAAAAATTTGAATCTACCCTTGTGCCCAAGCAATTCCAGTCGTATGCAATAATTGGTTTAGTTCCACCAGTCAAATATAACGCACTTGAAAAAGTCGAACTAAATGCGACCCAGTGCGAGTATTCGAATGCGCTATAAGGTACACGAATCTTGACGTCAACCATAAACCATAACAGAAAGTAAGTGTTCTGTGAATCATACGAATAAACATAACCATGAATTCATTATTTTAGAGAGAATAAAAAACTATGATAACAGGAGGTAAGATCGTACTGTTGAAGAAATTATAAAACTTGATAAAAATGTCGATTGTTTTTAAACGGATGACATGGGCCACGTCACCTGTCAACCAAAACTCGCATTTTTTTTACAACTATGAAGACTAGAAGAAGGAGGCGAATCGACAATGTTCAAAGTTCAAATTTCCGTCCTTTTTATAAAGGTCGCGAAATTGACTGTATTTGGCATGTCGTATAATAACGGTTTCAATTTTCTATGTAAGTCAATGTAAAACAAAGTGATTTTTTAAAAAATTGGTGAAAAGAATCAAAATAATGTGAAAAAAAGTACCTGAGTACAGGTAACATAAGTGACAAAAAACATTAAAGAAAGATTTACGTCTTTCCAGATTGTAAAACAGCATACAAACCAAATGTAAAACTAAAGAAAACAACAAGGATAAATCAATTCAATGTCTTTTTAAAGCTTCTAATGTAAGTAAAATAATGTATTTATGCCTAAATACAATATTTATTATAAACTACTCACAATATGTATCTTACGGAGTGTAGTTTATTTTATTACAAGTTTCTATTATAAAATTTTACAGTCATAGATCCTGACTTACAAATAACAATAATTATGCATTAAATTTAACTTACTAGAAAAGAAAAATTGTTTTTTTTTATAGAGTTTTAATGTTAACCAAAGAGTTGCTACTGTTATTTATTTATTTTTGAACATAAATTATGTCGTTCCTAGTGCCGATAAAGCACTTTCTAGAGATGATGCTGTTCTATACTTTTTAGAAGATATTATCAAATATGAGACTATTTTTGCTGATGGTACTGTTAGCCAAATAAAAAGGGGAAAACTGAAATTAAAGGATGAGGTAATACCACGTACAGTCCCAATCTCCCTTTATACTTGTATTACAACAATAAAAAATCTGTTAAGTGTGTTTTATTTTGCTCTTAAAACTATATATAGGTTCAATTAAAAAAAATTATGTATAATTCCTATAAGAAGTCATGTATTTTGAACACCGTAAGCAGTACCAGCGCCCATGCGGTTAATTATAAAAGCTCAATTAGCGTGCATTTTTGGAACCGTATTTTGAGTATGCAGATTCGCTTCTTTATCTCTAGTCTTCATATTCTGACAGTACGTGGAATTGCCTAATAAAAAAATATGATCCATCTTACATGTGATTAGGAAGGTAAGTGACGTAAACAAGCAACCGGCAATTTGAAAATTTTAAATTAAATTATTATATGATTTATTTTTATAAAAAATCAGTTTATTTATTTAGTAATTTTATTAAAAATATATTTAATATTTAAAGTAACACACCAGATTATAAGTTACCTGTGAAATTCAGTTGACCATCGGGACAATTGTGTCACGTACAAAAGTCTTCTCAAAGTTTAATGATATCCCCAATAAAACAAATATGTTCCCGCTAAATTACCCATATTCAATGCATTTATAATAATAGGACAGATGGCAGATTAATATTTCTTTGTCTGCTTTAATAATAAATATAAATGAGTACGTAATTTCGCCAGGTAGTAGTTTACATACGTTTATTACTCATTTTTATCACTAGAAATGGCCATTCCATATCAGTCACCAGGTGGAGTATTACAAATTATTACTGAATCGAATTAATGGAATTCCACTGTCGACGTTAAAATGGACATAGACAACATTAGCAGTATCGTGGGACAACACCGAGTATTTTAAAAAATAAATAAATTAGTTTTAAACACCTAACATTCAACAATAAAAACGATAACAATCCGTGAATCCGTGATATGGGGGAGTAAAATGTGTGACGGCCTCAGCATGCAACAAGCAATTTTATCTCAGTAGGTCACAGTATGTCGGTTTCATAAACTTTGTTCGTATGCGTATTTGTGTTGTTCTTGTTATTTTCTTCTTCTACATTATTTGATACACTAGTAGAGTTTATGGGGTTGGAATTGGTGTTGGTTAATAGCGTTTTGGTAGTATTTGGTAAATTGGTGAGAGATCCCGTGATTTGCGAGGTAGTAAGCTGTAGTCCCATCTTCTGCAATAGATTTGACTCACTGCCTGTCTTTTTTAACAACTGATCAGGAGGTGGAGGCACCAGAGCTAAGGTATTGTTGCCTCTTTGGAGCTGTTGCAACCGCGCGTATTGCTCTTGCAAGGCTTTTTGCTTTTTCAGCAATTCTTGATGTCTTTGCTCTAATTCTTCTTTCCTCGTCTTCTTGGATCCATCTTGGGAATTCACACTTTCGCAACTGCTGCTATTGCTAGCAGAAATAACTTCGGAATCAGATGAAACTTGAAGATTAGAACCAATATTTCTAGGCAAAGTTTGAGACTTTGAAGAATCTTTAATGCTCGACCTATTTGGAATATTTCTGCGTAAAGTCTGAAGTCCTAAATTTTGGGTGGCTTGTTCGAACTGCGAAAGCGGCTTCTCAACCATATTTTGTACATTTTGGATATGTTGGAGTCCTACAGCAGGAGATTTGGGAGGTAAATTGGGCGATGTAGGAGAAGCCAGAGGTGATTTAGAACTTGTTCGTGGTGGTGGAGGCGGAGGAACTCTCTTTCCGGTAACTTGCTGCAACAATTCTGGATTTCGTTCCGGTAGTGGAGGTTTAGCGGCAGTTTTGCAGTCTCTTTGGAGAGGCTGAATTGGAGGACTATTGTCGGTATCGGACCCACTAGGATAAGAATGCAATCTTCTGAGACTTCCAGTGGCGGTGCTCACGGATAAATTTTGAGTTGGAAGGAAAGATGCTGAATCCATGCTGCCCTTTCTGCCGATCTCCGACATCTGAGGAGGTCGAACTCCCTTCACGGGAATAGCGGGAGCCTCGGAAGCATCATCTTCTTCTGGTTGAGCAATGGGATGGGGTTTGGAAAAAGTTTGAAGCTCGTCTAACAGAGCGTCGAGTGCGTTCTCCGGACGCTGGCTACTGTCGGAGGCGCTGCTGTCTCCCCCGATGAGGACCTGCCCCAAACGTGGTGCGGGAGAGGGCTGTAAAAAATTTTTCATTAATTTTAAGTTATGCACATTTTCGAATAAAAAAGTGGCAATTAATATATGAAAAAAAGTAATAATAATAAAATAAAACACATTTATGCATGTCTCCCAGCTTGATTGTAACATGTACATGCACTGAATAAAAAAAAAATGGAAGTCGTGTAGATAGGAGTAATTTCTGTCTGAAATGGTTAAGAATATTAAAATGAGATAAGAATTTGAGCAGGTGGGGTCTAATGTCAGACGCAAATCGAGTTTTTATTAAATGTTTTTAATGATGAGCCCGCTTGAAGAATAGTGTATGAAGATATAATTCAGTGGTTACCTTAAAACGAAAGTTAATAGGTGCAAAAATAAACACATCAACTATTGAATATTGGGTGAGTCCAACTGAAACAACTAAAAAAAAAAAAACATAAAATTAACACACAAATAAAACATAAAAAACAAAATTTTAATAAAAAAAAAATATTTAAAAATGCCATGCATAGAATATTAAGCAAATAATTAGTAAACACTAAAAACAAGCGATGTATGTATGCAGTTTAAGATAATTTACATGTTTTAACACAATTATTTAAAATGGGAAGAAAATTAAAGTATAACATTCGTTGCTTTTGGACATTGTTTAATTATTTTAATATATAATATTACGTTATATATTAATAAGTATATAAGCAATTATGTCATGCAAATAGAAATCAAGCAATAGATCTACAATTACATGAGGTATAGCAAATAATAAAGCAGTCCTCATGCACTTAAAAAATCTTTCCCTTATAGTAAGGTAGGAGTCTGCCAATCGGAAACCTTGGAAACTACCTAAAAACCTTTTATTACAAGGTTAATAATATAAGCAAATAAGCTACATTCTAAACTACGTTCGCACTTTAAAATTACATTCAAATACAGAGTGAATAAAAAAACTGTCAATTATTTGTTACGCATTAAAATACCTTCAACTCTATGTTAAATATGCCACAAATCTACCAAAATTTGTACTTGACTCCTTCCACACTTTCCTCGTTATTGGTAAATACTGATATTATTTAATGAACGTATATTATCGAGATATAGTAAAATGTATGTGTATGTATTATAAAATGTTCATATAATTCTGTAAATAAAATGCCTGATGTCACTAATAGAATATTAATAAAAACATAGATTGGATCAATTAGACCAAATTTATTATTTTACTAGACAACTTGGACACTAAAGTTTAAAAAATGATAGAAGTAAAGTAGCATCTAGAGACCTCTACGACAAGATAACAATTCAATTGTTCCAATAGACAGTGTAGAGAATGATTAAACTGAAGATGAACTATAACAGGTGATAAAGAAATCAATCTCTTCATCGATGTGTTCGAAGTATTTGCAAGCCTTAAAGCTACAGAGGCAATTCAAGCCAAAAAATATAATTAAATTAAAGCAAACTTAATAGGTACCCTGCTTCTTTTTCAAAGATAGATCTCATGCAACCGGTTGATGAGACTAAGTAGATATGGGAGGAAGATAAAGACTTCAAATTATTGGCTCAAGCTGAACAAGACAAAAGTATATAAAAGAACAGGACGGTACAGATACATGCCCTGTTAGCTAAACATAATCGTTTTACTTCTATTTTTATATTTATATAGCATTTTGAAAAAGTGATATTGTGTTATGGAATTATGAGAGTAAGGTGTATGGGTAAAAAAGAATTCAGAAGAGCTTATTAACAAAGCGGTAGCCTTTTTTCTATTTCTTATACTTCTACCACTACTGGAAGAGATGTTTTCATTGCTATACACAATGGTATCTAGAATGTTGGAGCGATATTGAAGTTTGGGTCTACACATAATTTTTGTAAATTATGTCTTGTGCTTAAGAGGTAGTGGGTACCAATTTATCTAAGGAAGTTCTTATTAGACATAACCTTTGTTTGTTCATGAGCACAGGATTAGAAGTTGGTGTGAGTTTTGGAGGTACTGAAATGAACCAACTTTATGGTTTAACGATTTAAATGATAAAAAAATATTTGGATATTTTTAAATTCCCTAAAGAGTTATTAAAATTTTCTAAATTGTTGAGTTTTAAAATACTTTGGCTATTGTTATCTCAAATAAGCTGAACTAAAGAAAGTAAACTAAAAAAATGGTTTCTTCACCCTGGAGACACAATTGACACGATTGTATCCAATGTATGACATCATAAGCATTAATATTTATGTAACAGTATATTAAATTAGTTTACTGTCATGTCGTTCATATAAGCCGGCATGCCAGAAAGTGTGTAAGAGGTCTTTAAGAGATTAGTAAGAATAGTGCGATCAAGCGATGAAACTACGAAACAAAATTAGAAGAGGATGAAATAAATACAAGCCATTGCGTGTACATTTATTTATATTGTCGTTTAATTTATAGATTATCGTAGAATCAATCACATGGGATGAGAACGAACTGTGAATAATTAACTCTTGATGCGTCGAATGTTTGACATTTCCAATGACACCTTACTATAAGGAAAAGGTAGAGAATAAACTATACATGATGGTTGAATTTTTAAACGACTATTATAATTTATTGGTCAAGCACCAAACTTCAAGAATCTTGTGATTTGTTTATAATCAAGGAGAAGGCACCTAAAATGTAAAAAAAAAATAATAAAAAATATAAATCATTACTGTGTGTTTCTTTTATAAAAGCCTCCAATTTGTTTATACATAATTGTGCGAAAGAGATGTTATTAAATATATTAACTAAAAGTTAGTCTACGAATAGGCATGCTTTGTAGTACAAAGTCTGTTTAAAAACGGTTTAAAAATAAGGACCGATTTTGTCACCTCTGAGTAAAGTTACATGTAGATTTACTTAACAGATTAGCGAACTATATCCCATAGCCTAATCAGCAAGTAGGTATACTTTTAACTTCACTTTGAGGTAAAAAGACTAGCACTATGTCCAAAATATTAGCTGCTGTTAAATGGCAGCTTAAATGCTCCAAAAGTTGATATAATTACTTTTTATTATAACAATTATTTGATATTTTAAAATATATCGATTTACATTTTATTAAAACGTAAATGAATAATTGGCTCTTAAATTTTTATCTTTAAATGTACACAACATTTTAAAAATTTATAAACGGAGTACTCATTGGATGATAGATCCTTTACTGCCTAAAATAAATTCAATAATACAATGTTATATTCTAAAAATTACAACAGCAAAAGATACATCGATTTTAGGCCTCAGTTAAATTATACTAAGTTGATACTCTTTTTAAACAGAAGTCGTTAAAATAAACATTTTTTAAATATCTTTTTTCCAAAAACCCAAAAATAAAAAATATATAAAACTAAAAATTTAAATCCTGGCTTGAACTTATGTATGAAAAGTTACGCTAAATAATAAGCCATGCTTATGTTTTTATCTATTTATATCGGCTTTTCTTATGAATCACGATTACATTACGTACTGCGTATTGTAATTTCGTCGAATATGATTTTAGTAGCGTGTTTTGTGACGAGGTCACTAGATTTTACTATCGTTCCATTAAAAAATGTTTAATTCAAGTTAATTTTCGCCTGTTCTCAAGAACCCCATGTAATTTTAATTTCTTAAAAATTCCTGTTTTTAAACATTTGCGAGAATCCCCGCGTAATTTAAAATATATCATTCTCCAAAATTTGAATCAAGCTTTAAACACTCAAATTTATGTAAATTATCTGGTTATTTTCGCAGATGTCAAAAAAACGTTTTTTAGTCTCCTGGCTAGTAAATAATAGCTATTCCGAATCAGAGTCTTCGGTATATTATACCTTTCTATACATATACCTAAAACACTGAAAGGTTTTTACCTACATCTGTACTGAGATCAATATTCTCTGGCATTGTATACCCCCAATATTTTGGTCACAAGCTGCAACTGTTTCAAACTGTCCCTTGTAATGGACTTCTCACCATAACTTATAATAAATTTTTATACTCTACATAAAAACAATCTAGCTTTTCAGTTTGAAGAAAAAATAAACAAATCAGCAATTCTCCACCTTAATGGCATGTATCTTGAAAACTGGTCATGGTATTGGATTTTAAATTCATAACTTTTAAAACGGTATTAAAATTATTATATACCGAAAAAATGGTTACATTTGACCGGGCAAATTTTAGGGTGTTCGTGATTTTTGTACTTTTATTAAAATATAATATTGTTACGCAGCACCCTGCAGTAGTCTGCGGCTATTATAGGAAACGTACACATAGAAAAAGAAGTGAAATGTGACCTCTGTAATGGCAGAAAAGGACCCAAAACAAGAAGTAGAGGTAAAATGGCACAGTACCTTTCCGGAGAGCATTTCGAACGAATCGCCATTGATATCCTCGGACCACTTCCCTTAAGGGGAAACAAATACTTGATGGTTGTTATGGACTATCTTTCAAAGTGGCCAGAAATAGTGCCTATTCCTAATCAGGAAGCGACTACAGTAGCGGAAGAATTTATGACGAACGTTATTGCGAGACACGGAGTCCCCCTGGAATTACATTCTGACCAAGGACGAAATTTTGAATCCGAATAATAGCAAGATTTAATTAAACTGTTAGACATCATGAAAACACGCACTACGCCTCTACACCCAAAGTCCGACGGAATGATAGAAAGACACAACAGAACGATATGCCAGTATCTTTCAATGTTCGTCTCTGATAATCAAAAGGACTGGGACACTTTAATTCCTCTATTTATGCTAGCCTATCGAAGTTCTGAACATGAAACAACTAGTTATACTCCATCCATGATGATTACTGGAAGGGAGATGAAACTTCCCCATGATCTTCTTTTTGGAAGGCAAATTAGAGCTGAAATGGCTGAGTTAGAAAAAAAAATTCACAGCCAAGCTTCAGTAAACAGCATTGAAGCTTCAAACACTACTACCTCGTCTTCATCCATAACCGAACCAAGCCACATTCGAATCCCAGTTTCACAAAACTATACTAGCAAGACCCTCAA